CAATGTCTTCACTGCTGTCATCTTCTTTGCTGCTTTCAGAATTATCTGTGTTTTCATCTAAATTGCTATTTTCTCCGTGGACAAGTTCATCAATAGTTCCTTCATCAACAAATAAAATATTGGTGGCCATCTTTGTTTCTCAGTGTTACCATGCAACAAAATATATTTCATGCTAATTAATTCTTTTATTGTACTCAGATCTTCGGAACTCTGTTGGATGCTTAATTTATGAATGAATGAACTTTAATAATTACTCCTGTACAGGCTTTTCAGCAATTATTTACAATGGTAGACAATTTACAATCACAAATGAAGAACTTAAATTAGGGTTGGCCATGACCTTAGACCTGTGTAAGCCCAACATATTCAGAACTTCTCTGCCAATAAAACAATGATGGTTGAAAACATGAAACATTCCAGGTACCGTCCACATGGACAAACATGTACACCTGAAATATTCCGGGAGCCACATGATAAGGGTTAAGGAAGGTGAAAAAGTGGTGGCTTGACTGTTTTAATGGAATTTTGCCAGAAAGAAAGAATCAGAAGGACTTGAGAATGAACCATGCAGTTTTTATGTCGTAAGCAGAGAAGTTGACACTCTCTTCTCAGGAGTCCAGGAGGATAGGTTCCTCTCTGAGTGAAACAAGTTCTAATCACATAAACTTGTTGGGGTTTCAGTCCAGAACAACAGCCTAATCAATAAAATTTGGTTCAAGATTGTTCCACTTAAAAACAAACCATATTAAACATAACCAATATATAGCACATTTTAAGAAAAATTAATTTGCCTCTGTTATAATTAATAAAATCTTGTGTTTATTTCTTACATTTCATCTATTCTTGTGTTTGTGTTGTGTGTAGTTTATTAAGAGCTCTTGCAGTATAAATATGGAATTACAGGTCTGGCCAGCAGAGAATAATAAGTATTTACACAAAGTTTAAATCTAAGGAATAATTTATTGCATTAGCAACTAACAAGCATAGATGGCAAGACTAGTCACATGCAATGTCAAATTAAGAAGTGTATTCTTGTACTTCCAAGGACTAACTTAACAGTTGTTGTGGTTGGTAAGCCCTTGACATTGTATTTATGTCATTTTATTAAACTATTAAAAGAAACTGTAACATGCATTCAATTATATTTATAAACATGAACATTAGCTGGAAATTGTATACACAGTATCAGATCTTCTACAGGGAGCTGCAACAACATGCCTTTTTGTTCCTCTTGGATGTAATACTGTTTTCTAATAATCAAAGCTGTCATCCTCCAGTAGTATCTGATTAGCACCTAGAATTGGTCCTTGCCCAGGGATGGACTGCATCACTTCTTTACTTCCAATGCCGATGAACTGGAAAGGTCCAGAAATTCAGCCTGATGGAGTACAATTGTTTTCTCCATGTGAATGTTGGGATGCAGAGTCACTGTTTGCATTGAAATGTGTGTGATAGATATAAAGAGCATGAGGTATGCTAGTGTTTGGGGATTGACTTCAAGTTTTCCTTTTGTCCTTTTTTCCTTGCTTTTAAGTTTAAAAGGTGCTTCCCCATTCTCTTTTGGACATGGCCAACACAATCCAATTTAATAACCTCAGACAAATTTTCAATTTTGTTGAAGGGTTTTGCTTTTTCTGTTTGACACCATCCATTTATATTGAAAAGTATGTAGCTCAATGGATCCTCCTCCAAAGGATGGAAGCTTCTTCCACCTCCATGGCTGGTGAACAGCCATTAAAATTTATGTCACACTTACCAGTGGCCAAACGCTCTCTTCTCCACTCATGGAACTCTGTGTCATCCCCTTCACATGATAACTATTTGAGAGCACACATTTGACAAGCTTTTGACAATACAGTGTAGTCTAGAACTTTGCCAGTGTCCTGAAATGGCAAAGAATACAGAGGTGAAACCTTGCTTTGCCCAAGTTCCATAAAGCTCACAGCTGCATCCACTGTCTTATGATGTTCAACCTCTTGATTCTCATAAAGGATAACATTACCTGCATCAAGAGTTCTTCCTTTATGTAGTATGCATTTGTTGACAAACAAGGCATGTTCATAATTGCACAGCAGGATGCAAGTCTCTCATAACCAGTCCTGGATTTAAGAGAGAGATTCACATCAAAGGATTTTCCCTTGGTTCTGGTGTTGGTTGATTTTTGAAGTTACACACCAGGGCCAAACTGCCCCTCTTGTGGGTTTTTGGGGGAGCGAGGTGGGTACTGGGTAAAAATCATGATGTCAGAAAATAAAGAAATTGTATGACAAAAATTTAAGACGGTGGTCAAAGTAGAGTTTGCTGAGACACTTTGCCCTGCTTTGCAGGGGATGGAATAAAAAAAGTGAGTGACTTCTTTTGAGAGCTTGATGGTGCCATGGGAGTCTTGGACTAAAATTTAATACAATGAGCATTGTAGAGATCTAGAGATAAAACGACTGTTGTATTTACAGGGAGTGGTAGTGAGGACCTTAAGAGAGGTCAACATCAAAATTATTTGCCACCTCAGTTCAAGACTGAGATTAGCCAATCCTTGGGTTGGTGAATTTACTGTAGACATGCCCATGAAGGTGATGAATGCATCTCAAAATGTACCTTGGACAGAACCTGATGATGCCGTTGACTGGCCAGAGCTTGGACTTCTACAATATTTTACAGTAATTCAAGGCCACACTAGTGTTTTTATTGTTTTGGAACAAATTTTCTTTTACTTTTGGTGGTAAATGTCACTGTGGGGTCGTCATCATCATCATCATCATCATCTTCTTTAATAGTAACATCCTCGTGAGGTTTTTAAGAGACCATTTACAAACTTTTTACAATTTATAAAAACATAAATAACGACAAAACTCATGGTCAGAATTTAAGATAGTATTCCACCAAGTTCTAGAGCTTATAAAGGAAATGTCTGCCTCAATAGTGTGTCTTGCAGAGCGCGCTTGAAAGATGCCAATGAGGCATTTTGCCTAAGTTCTTTATGCAAGTTATTCCATATGTTGGCCCCTCTGTAGGAAAAAGTGTGCTGGCCAGTAGCCGTTCTGTATAGCGGAATCTGCAAAGAGTTCCGTGTACGAGTGTTACGAGCATGTATATTTGATCGCTTGATAAACTTACTCGTTAAGTATTGAGGCGCAAGACCGTTCTGACATTTAAAGGTCAGAATGGAGTCTCTATAAAATAATTGTTTTATTAACAGGAAGCCAATTTAGCTCGCGAAGCAAAGGTGTTACATGGTCAAACTTCCAAGAGTTTGTTATGATCTTACCGGCAAAATTTTGAATAGATTGTAATCTGTTTATATTCTGGAGCGTGGTATTTGACCACACTCTTCCCAAGCCATAAGAAAAACAAAGTCATGAGGGAAAACAATCTACCACCTCACTTTTCTTCACATTGCAAGTGTTCTCAACATACTTTGCCAGCTCTACATGTTTAGCCTCTCAACCTTGCGAAGAGTTTAAGCCGTACCCAAACCTAAGCTTCTCTAATAGCTGGTTAGTGTGATATGGAATGCCCAGGGTCCACACAATGAGATTCACCCCATCTAACAGGAGACCATTTGCTGTGAAATAGTATTGGCACAATTTCTTGAAATTGGCAAACCCTTTGAGCCCCACAGTAGACACATGTGTAACCAGCCCATATTCCCGGGACCATATTGGAAACTGAGACCATTTTCGTCTTGTTTCTACAATGTCTGCAATTTTTGGTGTTATCTTGAACACAGTAAGTTGAAAGTCAACACACTTAAGACAAAAAATGACCATCAACAAATTATCTTTAATTTGGGACCTCAACTACAGCAAACAGTGAAATATATAGTGAAAAAGACGTAATAGAAGTAGGCATCAAATTGAAAATCTCCATTCAATTCTGTGATCGCCTTATATATTGTGACAATAAAAAGGCAAAAAAACTATTAACATGGCTCAGAACTCAACAGAATTTGAACAGGTTCCTAAATATCATTATAAATTTGAAATACATTGCCATGAGTGGTAAGTTCAGGCAATAAAAACAAGTTGAAGTCAAATGTTTGTTGCTCGATCATTTTGAATTTCGCACACTCATGACAAATTACACGTCCCCAACATGATTTGGGAAACACTCCAAACAAAGTCTCTTCTCAGCTCTGGCAAGCCATCATTTTAAACTTTGTCCTTTTCCGTTTAAGGCATTGCTTGCAACGGCCTCTGCTGGAATTTATCGGCCAGTGTCCACCCTCAACTTGCCCAGAACAAGCACTTCTTTGCCGACTCGAAAAGTCAGCAATCAGGTCTTTAGCAAGTTCAATTCGAAACGCTAGTTGCGTTCTTGAGGGGTGATTCATGGCTTTCTTTTTGAGGATGAATACATTAACTGTGCTCAGATCCATGACAAACCAAAAAAGATGACGCCACCATTTCTTTGATTTTTTTCCAAGCAAGTAGTAACCACGCAGTTGATCGTGAAGATTGACTCCTCCCATCCTCGCATTGTAGCTGTTGATGGCAGGGACACTCGGCACCTGAATTATCGTTCCATCTCATTGTTTTCTGTTAACGGTTTCGTTTCCAATAAGATTGCTTTGTGTGCTTAAAAAAGGAACGATCTTTTTGTCCTTCCAAGGGGTTGCCACAACGTTCTCCTTTCGCCGATGAATAGACTCTCCCCACTTCAAACGCTTCACAACTGGACTCTGCGGCAAGATCTTTGGGGAAATCTTTTCTGTTCGCCCGTGCCATTGCGCAACAGTATATGCCGTGTTTCAGGAGATCCTCGGCAAGCTTAACAGTCGAAAAGAAATTATCAAAGAAAACATGATGATTTTTTCCAACAAAGTTGCGGGTCAGATTGTGAACAACATGATAACCAAGATTTTGTTCTGTCCCGCCATCTTGTTTCTTTCCAGTATAAACTTGGAAATCGCAAACATACTCGCTTGACGCTTCTGCACAAACCCACACTTTAATGCCATGCTTTACAGGCTTCATTGGTAAATATTGCTTCATGCCAAGGTGTCCTTTAAATTTAACCATGGCTTCGTCCACAGACAAATTTCTCCCCAGTCGTAGTTTCTCTTTACAATTTTCAACAACGCAGTCCAGTACGGGGCAAACTTTGAACAACTTGTCATGTCTCGGATCTTCTCACGGAACTCGTCTTGCGTTGTTATTCAAATGAAAGTAATGGATCAGTAGCACAATAAGCATGTACAATTGTGTAACATGCATCAAAAATGCAAAATTTCTACAAGTTTCTCCAAAGTCATGTTAACACTTTAATTTGCACAGTAAAAAATAAAATAATAAACAGTAAAAAAATAAATAATTATGGTTTACTTGGTTTTAGCTCTCTAGTCCGCATTTTTAGTTATACCCATAATGCCTTGCGGCCTCTTAATTTTGTAAATATCTAGTAATCTGCCCAAATTCATATTAACACTCCATAATTATCTCAGCAAATCGTTATTACTAGCAAACGATCATATAATTGAAAGTTTTTTGGCCAAGTCAGCATGTTTAGTTTTTTACCCATAATGCATTGCGACCTGTAAAATTGGGTAAAATATCTAGTAGTTTGTCCAAATTCATCTTAACTCTTTATAATTATCACAGCAAATCATCATTACTAGCAAACGATCATATAATCAATTTGTTTTTGCCAAGTCAGCAATTTTAGTTTTTACCCAGAATGCAGTGCGCATCCTAGAACTAGCACATTTTACACACTTTTGGATGACATATTGTACATTTTGAAATATCCTCATCAAAACAAAACTGATAATCAGTTAGTGTCCATCAAACAACTGTTAATTAATGTTACAGTGAAGCAATGATGTCTTCATGGACATCCCAGGCAACTTGAAAAACTTTTTTTCGACCTCTGCCCCTCTCTATCAGCTCTGAACAAACGTAACGAACAGTGCCAGGAAACACGACAGCGACCTTCTTTTGATCAAGCTTGTACGTCATGTCAATCAGATTGTCCCTTATAAAGAAATGTCCTTTAAGAACGGAACTCCCAGCAGGAAATGCACACCCATAATCATCAGTGACATCTTCTCTCAGTATAACAGGGCCTTCACTGGTAACTTTCAGCAGGTAATAATCATAAGAATCATCTTCGTCCGCTGCAATGGTAATGATGCTGTCTTTGCCAACTAGATCAGCAACATGGAGGTGAACAGGCTCAGCCACTGGAGTTTCACTTTGGGCTCGTGTGGTAGCCGCAGATGCCTCCCTCTGTAAGATAATCTCCTGTAAGTCATCAACCAGTTCCTTGTTCTGGCAGTCATCGAAGTTGTCAAAGAGACACTCACCACAGTAACAGGATCGTTTCCTCACTAGGACCTTGCATTGCTCTGGGGTGGTAACTATGGAGTGCAATTTTCGGATGCCCTTAACAGTTTCAAACTTGCGTCCTTCTCGATTACGTAAAATTGCATCAGGACCCTGAGATGGAACATAAAAAAAAATTCTTCTGTTTAGGCTGACTGATTTGGATCGAGATGGAAATGATGACTGCGCAGGTTTGGAAAAATGACTTGTTAGATGGTCACACAGATCTTTGGCATTGGTTATGCTTGCTGTTCCACGTACTACTGCAAGACTGGCCTGTTGTTTTACATGGGAACCAGCAGCATCTTGCTCGCCTTTCGCATGGGATGTTTCAAAGAAATTTCTTTGAATTGTGAACCCAAAGTCGGCAAGTGAACAAGACAAATCCCCAATGCAGTGCCTCGACTTGTACTGTGCTGCACAGCCATCAGTAAACTCGTGCAGTTTGGTGATGTTCAGCTGCAGGTCATCAGTGAGATACTTTGCCACTAGCAACTGGGCGTGGTGCACAGAATCAAAGTCCTGTCCTGGATCATCACTGATCACAAAGATGTGTTCCTTGATGATGATGGGTTCTTCAGCAGTGCTTTCTTTTTCATCACATGCAGGTGCATGTCGAAACAGGACAGTGATGTGAAGACTTGCCTTGTTCACGTCGAAATACTGCGATTGGATTTCATTCTGCCCTCTGCAAGAGTAGCTCTCTGAGTAGTCGTGGATGCAGACGACATGTCCAAGAGGCAAGGTTTCTAGTAGTTCATCAAGCTGCTTTCTCTGCCAAATAGCCATGAACTGGTGGTAGGGGTAGTCCTCCAGCAGCTTAATGAAATACTGGAAAAGTTCCTTGGGACATGTTTCCTTCTGCACCAGCGCAATTTTCTTTTGTGGCTCTCCAGAAGCTGTCACCTTCCCAGTGAGGACATAATCAAAGCGCTTCCACTTGGTTGTGCCTTCCTCAGACTGCTCCTCTGGAAGAAGCTTAAAGAGGTGTGTGCCACATTCTTCACACGATCGATTGATGCAGCAAAGCCTGTGGAAGTCGCTACCCTCAGGTTTAGGACATAGTGACATTTCCACAGCTTCATTTAAAGAGACCAATGGTATATCAAGGGTAGGATTTTCATTCAGTGCACTTTTTCGAAACTTGAGACATTCATTGAATACAATCCGTGCTTCCTCATGTTTGCGACATAAACAAGACCTTCTGTCACGCTCCTTTGCCCCTTTAACAAAATATGGCTTTAGGCCCTCAAATTTTCTTTGAGAGATTTTAACATCGGGGTTGGCTGCACGAAAATTAAAGTAGACTTCACTTTGAGTCTGCTCCAGCACATGTTTGGGGTGCTCAATGTATAGTTTTGGGCCAATTCGTTTCCTGATGATATCCTTCTTGTCTCCTGTTGGTCTACTAGCCTCAAAAGTCCAATACAGGCAGACAGAGTTTTTCACTTCCTCAGAAAGTGCATCCACTCTGGGTTTCCTCTTCGTAAGTAGCCAACTCGGTTCATCTCCCTTAAGGACCTCACACCTGCGCTTTATTCCACGACTAACTGAACGTCTATCTAGAGAAACAAGCTTTGAAACAGTTGAAGTTAGCCTCTTTTCTTTCACTGTTTCTCCAAACGCGAGTGATTTGATTGCCCCAAATGCAGAGCGGCTTTCATTTTTATTGTTGCGCTTCAAATGCTTAATTCCACTAGTTAAGTCAGTCGTGATGGCTCTCAAAGCTTCCATTTCTTTTTCTTCTTCTGGTGATTTTATCAGACCTTTTTTCTCCAGTGCCTTTCTTGTTTGTGGACTTCGGACAAGCTTTTCTACAACTTCTAATTTTTTATTTGGTGTTGCCGGAAGCACTTTTCTTGTTTTGTCCACTGCTCGCTTTTTTGCCATCCGACTTTTGAACACGGCCATGTCCGGAGTTTCAACAGGATATGTTTCGTCTGTTTCAACTACCATTTCAGCAGCCTTTTTCTTATCCCGGTATTTCTTTGACCTTTCTCTGCTTTGGGCTCTCTTTTTTTCTACTTCCTCTGCTTTGTTTTGTCGAAATTTGCGAACTCTAGCTGTGCTTTTTCCATTCCCGTCTTTTGTAATTTTCCGCGATTGAGCACGTGTTTTCGAGGCCGTGGCTTTTTGTTGCTTTCTTCCCACAGCTTTCTGTATTAGCTCCTTTCTGTTTTTTTCGTAGTGGGCTTTTTTGATAGCTTTTTTCTTCTCCTTTTTTTCTTCTCTCCACCTTCTCATTAGTTCTGCTTTATTCTCACGCTCCATTGAAAATCGTCTCGCGTAAACTCACCTGGCGACCCGAGGGACATGCTTTGAAAAACACTTGTTCTTCTGCACGTGTCACGGCTATTTTCGGAGTTATTACATAACAAAAAGTTTCTGGAACCTTCTCGGGAGGTTACCAAGGCCCCATGTTGTTGTTTTCACGAAGGAATCGTTCAAAGTCATGGCGAAGTTTTCACGCTTTTTCGCTGCCTTTCGGTCCTTTCGCGCGAGAAAATCCTACATGTAATATGAAATTCATGAAGAAGCGTTTCATAAGGCTTGGGATTTCGAAAAACTCTTCTTGTGAGCTACCTACTTTATATTTTAACGTGGAAATGCTCGTGAACATTCGTTTTGAGATGAGAATCAAATGTGGCGGCAATCGGAAGGTTTCGGATGCATTCCGCGCATTTGGGAAGACGTTGACTTTGTGTGTTGTTTTGAATGGCGCATCAAATCATAGAGCGTTTCAAACGGCTTGGGATTCAGTCTTTTTCTTACTGCGTTGGAGCGAATGGCCCTAGATTGTTCATATTTTCAGGAAAGAGTCCTTAGAAAGTGAGAATGCCGTCAGGGTTACTATTTTTATTGATCGCCTCATTTTGTAACTTGTCTGGGAACCGAAATTTCAACTGCAGAAGCTGAGAGCAGTATCGTGACGCCATAACTATGAGGTACTTTTTTAGAATTTTAACCATACAGATCCTAGTTTTAGAAAATTTTAGTTATTAGGTTGAAAGTACGTTTGGTCTTTGTAATTATAAGATTTTTTTCAAAACAGAAATGCGTGTTTTGATATAGATATTCATAATCAAACAACGTTCCATCTGTGTAAATGTTACGCGTGACGGCCATATTTTTAATCAATTTTGTAGAACAAAAATTTCATAAAAAATAAGAGTGCAGTGAATTTTCACGAAACTTTGCGTATTTATTGACAAACATGTTACCTTTATTGGTGTGAAATCTTACAAACGTACCACTCATAATAAAGAAGATATTTGGGAAAACGTTTGTGTCACTCTGATTGTTCACGTGTATTGTGCTACTGATCAATG